CACATATGTAATACCTTAATCAATAAAGAAAAAGAAATTTTTTTTAAAAATTGCTTATCTCCTCCTCAAGAATTTGTATAGATTTTTCTCGATCAGTGAGTCATCCTAACACTGAGGTTGGAAGCTTAGACATTTTTCCAAAGAACATCAAATCCTTACGCTCTTTCCTAAAGGTGTGCGAGGCTGATCAATACCAGTTTTTCCAAATCTTTTCTTAATTTTGAACTTTTCATTTTCTCTCATTTCATTGAAAGAAGTAATTTTATTTTAAAATTAATTTAAAGATTTTAAAATGTGAATCATATTTATTGGATAGCCTACTTATTTTATATCTTGTTGCTACAAATGTAGTGCCATGCAGATAATGTTAAGTATTCCAAATAAAGATGAGTCTGAGAGGAATTGCCTATCAAATAAAAATGTTTTTCGTAAAGTAAGGTCATTTTTTGTTGTTTTTTTCCCTACAGGAGATTTCTTCCATCTTACAGGAGCTGAAAAGAGTTGAAAAACAGCTGCAAGGTAAATTTACTACTGAATGAAGTAGAAAGAGCTAACAGTTTAAGACAGTGCATGTTAAGTGGTATTTTTTAGAATATTCTTATTATTAGAACATTATTTGATTAAATGTAATGACATGGATAAAAATATAGATTTGGACATATCCAAATTACTTATAAAAAGAAGTTCAAACCCCATTATAAATCATTAAAAAGACATGAAGTTAAATCTTGAGCATATTGCTAAATGTTATAAATGAATTTATAGTATATCTATTACCTATTATATGTAATACTAATATGTGAAAAATATATCAAATAATGTATTAAAATATGTATATGCAGTTTAAAATGACAGAATTATTTATTTGGTTTGACAATTCTTAAGTTATATTTGTGGTATAACCCAAATGAATTAGTAACACAAATGATAATTGTGTGATGAGCAACAAGAAATGGATGCATCGTGTTGGCCACAGGGGCCGGAAGAGAGAGAGCAGAGAGGCTCAGTTTGTCTCGAGAACTTTGACAGGGACGTGCATTGGTGTGTGTCAGATCTTAATCATGCATTAATGCCTGCATAGGTCTTGACCCAGAAGTCCCAAGGGTACAACAGGCCAATTTTAGAGTGACCTGCTGATTCTACTCAATTCTTATTGCTTGAATTATCATAGACATGATATGTTAGTCCTACCTAAGTGATTCGCACACTTTATTCTGCCTCAACACACCTGAGGGTATGGACATCCCCCCATGGCTAAAAGTGGTTGCTCACGTCATGAGTGTTCGCTGGTAGAATGGGGGTGAACATTGGCAAGGGTCTCTTAAGTGATTCTTAAGTCTATGGCGCTTCCTTCTCCCAACTCTCTACTCTATCCAGTGCCAAGTTGAAAATCACTGACTACGATTTTTCCTCATCCACTCAAAGATCTTTTGGATTGAAAACTGGTTTTAACTGGCCCCTCCTATGGAGGTGGCAAGATCTGTTAGGCCTGCTGGGGCTGCTAAGAGATGTTAGTATCTAGGCAACGAGGGGATCCTCATGGCTCTGTGACACATCCACACTTGCACATGGCTGATGTCCTAGCCCTCTCACCAGCAGGATGACAACATGCTATGGGGGCATCAGAGTGCCTCATGTATGTCAGTTTCCCCAAACCCCATCAGTAGCAACTGATCCCCAGTTACTTGAGTGATTAATACGGCTAGGAGTGTTCATTAAAATTATAACCAATATTTTCACTTATGCTCTTAAAATAATGAAAGCAAATTTTAAGAATATTCTTCTAAATTCCACATATCCAAATCCCAGTCTTCCATCAGGCTCTGAAATGCCCATAAGTGAGCTATTCCGGGCGCCAGGAAAGCGTTGAGGCCTGTACAGTCTAGATCAGGCCCAGAATGATGGAGAGTGGGGTTTTCAAAACAGTATAGAAAGGAGTCGCCAAAATTAAGCATCAAATAAAGGCATCAATAGTCAAAACACTATCCTAGTCATAAGCAATGCTCACATCCAAACTGCACTGCATCGACAGTTGTCTGTCCCCCTATTCCTTTTTCCCTGCAGCGATCAATGCTATGATTGACCCGGATGGAACCCTGGAGGCTCTGAACAACATGGGCTTTCCCAATGCCCTCTTGCCGTCTCCCCCCAAACAGAAGTCCAGCCCCGTCAACAACCACAGCAGCCCAGGGCAGACCCCGTCCCTTTGCCCGGCCGACGCGAGGGTTCTTCATCCTGCCGCCATCTCAAGTTCAGCTGAGTTTGAGAACACGGAGTCGGAAGCTGACTTCAGCATCCACTTCAACAGGTTCAACCCCGACGGGGAGGAGGAGGAGGTGCCGGTGCCGGAGTGACTCTCTGGGAAGCAGGCACCTGGGGAAAGACTAGGAACATTGGAAGCAGCATAGCGTTGACTTGCACAAAACAAGACAGCTTGGTCAAGTACAATCTGGCTATCTCTGGCTTTTTAATTTTATTTATTTATTTCCTCCTATAATGTGGCACCATATCCATCCTTTCAAACCCCCGGGGAGCCACTCGGTGCACGTGTAGGAAAAGCACATCGTGGCAATGTCACCTTTCGTGGTTTCATGATTTTCGAACTGAACGATATCATTGCATCCTCTCCCTTCACAGATCTTTGTTGTTGGTTAGGTTTTTTTTTAAGCCACGCTGTGACCTACAAGCAACCTAAATACCTACCATTTCTGACCCCCGTGCCCTCTGTGCCCAGCTGCTCCCCAAAATGGACTTTCTCTCCATCTGTACAGATTTGTTACACACTTATATTTGCTTCTTAATAACAGGATTTATATTAGCACTCATGACCATTGGATACAGTGACACCTAACTGTCCACAGTCCAACTGACCTTTCACAAGTCGTTCTTGTGTTCTGAAATTTTCCAACATGTATGTGATTCATGTAACTCCGTAGCGACATAAATTGCCTTGGGGCTTACGGAGATGAACTATTATGTTTGCACTAAGATTCGCTGGGAGTGGTAGGTGGACATATCTATATATCAGTCAGTTCTAACCGCCTTTTGTACATAGGAGACTGATGAGACTGTATTTGTTCTAACCCACAGCATTTTACTCCACTTGCAAAGAGATGAATTTGGCACTTTTTTCAATATTCTTTTTTTTTAATGGAAGTAAGAGTTTGTCTCTCATTTTAAGGCAAATGATAATTAGAAAGATTAAACTAGACAGATAGTTTAGGTGGAGTATATTTTTAAAACTAAGAACATGTATATTGGTCCGGTGTTACCAAGTTTATATGTGACAGTTGGAAAAAAAATCCCCTTGCAACGATCATGCAGTGAAAATTTTCTTCATTAGGAGACCTGGAGAACCAGTAGCCATGAGATTAGTTGATAGTTTCACCCCCAAGCAATGAATTGCTTGTGTGATTCCCTGTAGGACCCCGTAGTGAACCCTGTGTGTCTGTCTTACTCATTTATAAGGACCCTGCAAGGCGACATGACAAAGGCGTGGGCCTGTGTTACTAACCAGGAAGCCTATGAAAAATATCTCCTATTAACTTCTTCCTTTCTCTTTCCAGTAAGGTCACGTTTGGGTAAGTTGAAAAAGAAAGCAATTATCTTCATGTTTCCAGAACACTATAATTTGGGTGAATCTAATTCATGTATTATTAGCAGACTTGGAGTTTTCCCTTGACCCCACCAGTCTATAAAGATTAAAGTACAACCTTTGCAAATGTATGAAATGGTCTTTAATATTGCAGCAATAATCCCGTGCTACATTTGTTTTAAGAAACAAACTGTGTACACTTCAGAAGTTTACAGGATTTGACAAATCCTGTACCATTGGGCCACTTAATAAAGACGCAAAAAAAAATTTTTTTTTTTTGGTAGAGATGTACAAAAAAGATCTGCGGTGTAATGGATCTCATATTTTTCTTTAATTTTTCTTAAAAGGGTAAATGAACTGTTCTCCTAATGAAGCTAAGTTACCCATGCTAATAAAGGAAACTGAAAAAAGTTTTTAAAGAACATGATTGGAAAGATACAAGTGCTTTGAAGGAATAAATGAAACATTAAAACAGGGTCAGTCCATTTGAAGAAAAATTCAAACATAATCACCATTGTTCCCTCTTTTTTCAATTGTTTGGGTACCGATTCTATCCACTTGGAAGTAGCAGATAAGGAGTTGTTTAGGAAAATATCGGCGTCTGTCTACTTACATTATTGTTTAAGTGTTTACACAGTTTTGTTTAAATATAAACATTTGGCCTTTTACTATGTTATTTTTATTTTTTATGAATACATTATTCTCCTTATTTATTTTTGTTACATTTATTACTTATGTTATTTTGTTAATGCATTTACAACTCCATTTTTAAATAAAGTGTTTCTGGAACTTTATACGATGGTTGTATATTTCTTAGACCATCTGGATGGCTAATACTTGATCACTTTGCCAAATAACCATTTATACACTGTTTCCCAAATGCTTCCACTCTAATTGACATGTAAGAGCAGCACAGGTAAGAGGAGCTGAAGACTGCCTTATTTTCTTTTTTTGTTTGTTTGTTTTTAATATATTTTCATTGGTTTCAGAAAGGAAGGCAGATGAGAGCGAGAGATAGAAACATCAATGATGAGAATCACTGATTGTCTGCCTCCTGCACGCCCCTACTGGATCGAGCCCGCAACCCAGGCATGTGCCCTGACTGGGAATCAAACCGTGACCTCCTGGTTCATAGGTCAATGCTCAACCACTGAGCCACACCGGCTGGGCTGCCTTATTTTCTTTGGACATTTCTAAGCAAATCCTCCCGGACCAGACCTCGGACCGCCACATCAGACCTTACCATTTGGCTGGGAATCTCTGACAGCTTTGTTTTTCATGCGGTTTTTTCAGAGATGGGCCACGGCTGTGTCCATCGTGCCTGCCACAGTGGGCAACTGGCCAGTGGCCTGAGTCACATGTAATCACAATAGAAAGCCACTGAGCGGAGTTAGAAATCCTGCAGCCAAACTTCACTTTTTGCTTCAGGGAAGTGATTTCAACTCCAGCTGCTCAGATTCATCATGTGTAAAATGGAGCGAAGGATCTGACTAGCTGGTCTCTGAGCTGTATTTCTGCTCTTTAGAACACCAAAGTCAAAGAGAAAATCTTAAAAATAATCAGAGAGAGAAGAGAGGATTTGTTCTTTTTATTTTTGTTTTGTTTTTACCAAGAACTGCCTGAATTGTTTAAGTTACAAAAATGTTTTAGGATATATTTCCTTCCCTTTTAAAATTTTATTTTTGCTTAAAGAATGTCAGTCAGTTAAAAGATTAAAGTTGATAATGAATTTATGGCATGTCTAACAAGGAGAGTACTTCAACCCATCTACTTGTCATATACACTCGAAGCAGATAAAAATGTAAGAACTAAATTGGCACGATCTTCTCTGAAACTGAACTAGCATTACTGAAAAGAGCAAAATCCATTAAGCTCATGCAATTACAGACACTAGGGCTTCCATCCAAATCCAGGCCCCTGTGTCTCCTGCCTCTTATTCAATAAAATGTATATGCAATAGAGATCTGAATATCTAATGGAATTACTAAAGAAGATTTTAGAATTCCATCTTTCAGAGTTTGTTTTTGTTTGTTAGTTTTTAATGGCTCTTTGGTCAATGACTGAACTGTGATATAAGGAGTGGACTAGAGGACTTCTCCAAGTCTCTCTTGATAATCCATCATAGCTACTTAACATATTTGCCTCCATTGTTGTCTTAACTGTCTTCCAGAATTTTCTAATTATAATGTTCCTAGAAGAGAAGTGTGAGGGATTGGGGAGAGGAAAATAGGGAAGAAGGAAAAGTTAGTATTGATGCCTTCTCAGGTCATCCCCCTTATGGGCCATGGGGGGGGCGGGCTTAATCCCACCAGAGCCACCCAATGAGCTGGTAGACTCAGCACTGGAGGGAGGTGGGGAGGAGCACTTACTCTCCAGCTCTCACCTCCCATTGGTCCAGGGCTGCCCCCATGGCATTAACTCTCTTACACATCCAGGTGATGCTAGTGTGCGTGCTGGGCTGGTTCCTGCAGGTGTGTCATTCTGTTATCAAACCTCGAGGGAGATGCTGCCTCCCACAGGAGGTGTTGCCAGGTTACCTCTTCTCAAAGCTGGTGGCTGTAGCAGTGGCTGGAGTGAGAGGTGCACCGAGGGAATGCCAGCAGGACACGGATTTTGTCCCCTGCACATACTCAGTGCAACACGGTGATGATCTGGGCTGTGAAAAATTAAAGCGATTTAGCTGCTCTTTTTCAATCACAAAGGAGGATACTGGACAAGTCCGTGTCACTCAAGGAGGAAACTGCACATCAGGGGCTGCTGTCGTTTCACATTGGAAATGACTCTTTTTCATTCCTACGCAGTGGAATTGAAACAGTGTTATATAAAGCAGGTCATGCCCGGTTTTCCTAGAAAGCAGTCAATCCATCCCAGCCTCCCTCAGGAGCACGCCGCTGCGATGTGTGTGGAGACGGTGCCATTCATTACAGGCCATCGGGGTCATTTCCTTCTCGAAGAAAGCATTTTCCTCCTTCACATGGTACGATATAAAGGTAATAAAGACACTGGGCTTCTAGGGCAATATGTTGCTTCAGCTGCATTATTTATCTTAATGTTCAACTTTGGATTCTCTAAGTAGCCAAGATTCACCCTCATTGGATTTGGAGAAAGAGCAAAATATCTGATAATCCTTTTATGCTCCTAGGCTTCAAAATCCTATAATGAGGAATACACTGGGGATATGCCCGCAACCAAGGCACATGCCTTTGACTGGAATCGAACCCAGGACCCCTCGATCCGCAGGCCGACACTCTATCCACTGAGCCAAACTGGTCAGGGCTGCTTTGCTTATCTTAATGTTCAACTTTGGATTCTCTAAGTAGCCAAGATTCACCCTCATTGGATTTGGAGAAAGAGCAAAATATCTGATAATCCTTTTATGCTCCTAGGCTTCAAAATCCTATAATGAGGAATACTATATAATAAAATGCTAATATGCAAATTGTCCCCTCGACCGGGAACAGAGCTGGCTGGCCAATCTCCCGCGTCCCCTCCCCCCAGCCATCAGCCCGATTGTCCCCAGCTTTGCTTATCTTAATGTTCAACTTTGGATTCTATAAGTAGCCAAGATTCACCCTCATTGGATTTGGAGAAAGAGCAAAATATCTGAAAATCCTTTTATGCTCCTAGGCTTCAAGATCCTATAATGAAGAATACTATATAATAAAATGCTAATATGCAAATTGTCTCCTCGACAGGGAACAGAGCTGGCTGGCCAATCTCCCTTGGCCATCCAGCCCGATTGTCCCCGATCCGTGCACAAATTTGTGCACTGGGCCTCTATTCTGTAATAAGTCTGTCTTAGGAAGAGCTGATCTACCCCTAGAAACGACTGTCTGCTGAGCGTGCGTGCGCCTCTTGGGGAGACGGGGAAGAACACGTCCCAAAGTGCCTCTCCCAAGTGCAGGGGACCCGGGTGATGAGTTCACCGACCAGGTTACCAGGAGGCAGGGAAATTCTGGAGACAAGTTATTTCAAACAGAATAACTGGTGGAATTATTTTATGCTTCAACAGGAAATGGAAGGGCCTCATTTTGCCAGGAGGATATATAGATGGAGGTAACCTGTTTAATAGCTTAAAAGAAGAATCCAGGTAATCCATGGATGGCCAAGTCCTAATGGTTTTGTGAGAGAAGGCAATTTCTCACTCGCAAGCCTGTCTGTCTCACAGTGTCTTGCACCGCTCCAAACCACACCAGGGCTACTGTCACCCACCCACTGGGCAAATGCTGATGAGATGCCTTACCCTTATTCTGGAAGCTGGACTATGGGAGAATCGGGCATCTATGTACAAAATCATTATCGCCCTAGCTGGTCTTGCTCAGTGGATAGAGCATCGGCCTGAGGACTGAAGGGTCCGGGTTCGATTCCAGTCAGGGGCACATGCCCAGGTTGCAGGCTGGATCCCCAGTAGGGGGCGTGCAGGAGGCAGCCGATCAATGATTCTCTCATCATTGATGTTTCTCTCTCTCCCTTCCTCTCTGAAATAAAAAAAAAATTTTTTTTAAATCATTATCATTATTAAGATCATTGTTATTTCTGATTATTGAACTTCTATCATCATGAGCACTGTGTGTTTGTTTGTTTGTTTGTTTGTTTATTTCTTTTTATTTGCAGGCTCAGTCCCCAGTTGGGAGGCGGCCAATTGATGTTTTGTTCTCACATCAATTTCTCTCTCTCCCTCTCTCACTTTCTCTTACTCTAAAAACCAATAATAGTAATAACAATAAAGGTTGATTCATGTTTTCTGTCGTCATCTCTTGGTAGCAAGGAGAGGCATATGTGTGCCGACTGCTACACTAAACAATGTGAGTTGAACCCTCCAGGCACTCATTCATTCAACAAATACAAGCACCTGTATTGCTCAGGTGTGAGATAGGTGCTGATAGGATTTAGATCTCAGGCAGGCCCGAGATGAGATCGGTGACTAGACTAGCCAGGGTAGAATAAAGATACAGCCGAGTGCTAGAGCAAACAGAAAGAAACATGTGTCTCGCCCTGGCCGGTTTGGCTCAGTGGATAGAGCGTCGGACTGCGGACCAAAGGGTCCCAGGTTTGATTCCAGTCAAGGGCACAACCTCTGTTGCAGGGTCCTCCCCTGGTCGGGGCTCGTGAAGGAGGCAAACAATCGGTGTGTTTCTCTCTCATCACATTGATGTTTCTGTCTTTCCCTTTCCCTTCCAATCTCTCTAAAAAGCAATGGGAAAATATCCTTGGGTGAGGATTGAAAAAGAAAGAAAGAAATGTGTGCCTAAAGAGAGGTCCAGAAAAGTGTTCTGTGCATTTGGTAAATTTGTATTTACCAAAAATAAAAATAAAAAATAAATACCATTTATATATTTTAAGAGCTGAAAAAGAAAGAAAGAAATGTGTGCCTAAAGAGAGGTCCAGAAAAGTGTTCTGTGCATTTCTATGAAATTTGTATTTACCAAAAGTTAAAATAAAAAATAAATACCATTTATATATTTTAAGAGGATTTTTGGTTTCACAAAAG